ATGTCCGCCGGTGAACACTTTATTCATGTTGTAACGCGTGTTCAATTTGTCTTGACGAAAACTGCAAGCTTGTTCACCGTGTGTGGACGCAGGAAATAAATTACGCATTGTATTCTTTCTCTCCCTTGTATATTTGATATCCAACAAAAGAAAATTCGAATACTTGTTGATTTTCTAAGAATTTAAAAGCAATTTATTCCAAATTACCATGTACTGTGTTGTTCCACAATATTTTAATTTTAATTTACGCGTAATATAAATCATAAACGCAGGAAACAAATTCCGCATTGTATTCTTTCACTCTCTTTATATATTTGATTTCCAACAAAAGAAAATGCGAATACTTGTTAATTTTCCAAGAATTTAAAAGACAATTTATTCCAAATTACCATGCACCGTGTTGCTCTACAATATTGTAATTTTAATTTCCGTGTAATGTAAATCCGCGATTGAAAGTTCCGAAAAAGGATCGGTCTGATCGGACTCCGGCCAGGCCTTTCCAGCGTGCATTTGGAATCGAGATGGAATGGCGTGCAATGGGAAACAAAGCGCGGCCGCGTAACGTTCTCATATCGTGTCATTTCGTTAGCGTAATCCATCCTTTTGTTCTTTCAAATTCAAGGCTACGTTTCAGAACCGCGGCAACTCTGACACACCGTTGCCCCTTAATTGTTCTCGCCGCAGAAGGAATTCATTGTTCCAGCGATACGTCCGTCCGTCCGTCCGTCCGTCCGTCCGTCCTCCAACGAACATCGTTTCCCGTGCTGATTGACGAATCAGATTAAATCCCCAACCCGTCCGGGTCGGGTTGCGCTCCTTATTTCGATCCAGTTCTTGCACCGGCAGTGCCGCAATCGCTCTCTCGCGGAGTTTCAATCTCGATCTCGAAGATCACTTTTTGAATTTTCCACCAATATAAGGTAGTCTGACTCATTTTTACCAATCTTCTGAAATTAGAATGCTCCCGAAAGCACTAATTCCAGTGTCCACTCGAAGAAAGAGAGAAAAAAAAATAAATTTTCTCTCGAGTCAGTCTGAGATCGAACGTCACCATGAACGTCGCGGTTAAACGTTCGCAACGAGGCAAACGTTGAACCCGTTCACTGACATCTGCGTTGCGCAACGCGTCAGAGCAATCTCTATATTAAACGCGGTGGCCGTGCGCCGTGTGACCTGGCGGCATCCGCGGATGATACAAGTTCAGAAAAACGCGAAGAACAAACGATCGGTGCCGCGAGAGCGGCGGGGATAATGGGCACGAGGGAGCGTCGATTGAAAATTGCAGGGATCTCCCATCCCGATTGCAAATTGTCGACGGCGTTCCATCGTAAAACGATAACCGTGCATAATGACGCGTGTGTGCACACGAGCGGCGGTCACAGGCGGAGAAGGATTTCGCAAGCGTACACGCAAGTACACGCGCAAAGTGAAGATGACTTGGACGACGACGCCGACGACGACGAGTGGAAATCACGGAAACACGATGGCTCTCTCGCCTAACGATCACCGCGCTCGAGAACGATTAAACGACGTGTACATCAGGTGTCTCTCTTCGTTTCGTTTCACTTGCCACTTCTTCGTTGTTCTCGAATGAGAAAGATATTGCAGGAGAAGCTAACGTTAGAAACTATCGACGATCAAAACGGAAAATTTCCATCAGATATGTTAAAGTAAAGAAAGTAGAAAACTTTTATTTTTTTTATATACTTTACGAAAAATCGTTTAAAATCTCCGAAGATGTAAAATATCCAACAAAAATTACAAAGTTGGTCACTTTTAACATTTTGTTAGTTCTAGCGTTAAAGAAAAGTTAATCAAACTTTATCAATCGTGAAAGTGAAATTAAATTCGAATTTTCAATAACTTTGTATATTTTCTTATATCGTAGATTTTTGCACCTTTAAACTTCAAACTCCACGCTTTAGTTTTAATATTGTGTTATACTTCCAACAGAATTATTGGTACACCCTATATATATATATATATATATATATATATATACCATCGAGGGAAAATCAGTGGTACAGCCTAGGTAATTGGAACGGTTTAATGAGTCTGAGAGGATGTTGCGTTAGCGGATTATTATTGTAATAAGGAATCCAGTTAAATAGGCGGTAATCTCTCGAGCGGTTAGCTGTTACAGTTAACGTGTGCAATTGAATTGATTAAGTTTTTCTGACGCCTCGATGCGCCGTTTTTCTTTGTACTTAGTTGTGCAGTTGATCACTTGACTCGAGCGAAAAGATTTGTTGCGTCTTTTTCAGAGCTGCGTTCTTGCGTGCGTAGTGATCGATTCGAATTGTGCACGGAAGAGAGGTAATTGTCCAGGTGGTGTGAATAAATTTTCGTATAATGGGCATGATTGGTCGTGATTACGCGAATTTTTTTTGCGATAAATTCTTGTGTAACGGAATCACTGCGCAAAAAAGAAGCAGATAACTCTGAAGAAAACTCGAGTCAATTTTCTGTGATGGATATAGAGATTTATAGCGTCTAGGTGACCCGTTTGAAGATGGACTCTTACGCAACGGTTGTTTTAATTCTTACTCAGATTCTGGAGAAGATACGATTGACTGGAGTATACTTTGAAAAACTGGAATCTGAAAAGATTGCTTGGAATTGCACCGGCTAGGTGTGAGACGTGAATTGACTCACGTACATCCCTTAGCCTCACAGAAGAGAACCAAGGCTGCGTTACTTTCGATTCGCCAGACTTACAAAGGACAAGGTTTTAAGTTCACGTTCGTGTTTCGTTTGAAACACTTTCATTTCTACAACGATCTTCACGTGTCTTCTTTGTAAGAAACGGATATGGTATTCCTTTTTTTCTTTTTCTTTTCGAGTAATCGAAGGATTAAGTTAACCTGAACCTCATGGGAACGCTTAAAACGGAAGCTGCTTGATCGCTTGTTTATTTCTGTGTACAACCTGCTCAACGATATAAGTTTTTTTCCTTCGAATCCTGTGAAACCTGTTCGATAAGGATGTAGTTGGTATTAAAGAAGAATTACCATTCGAGGAGATAAAGATTACTGGATTAAAAATACGCACGCTTGCATAATTTCCTAGATTAAATCGTCTATATACCGCGCTAAATGTTTCGTTGGCGTAAAAATTCCCCGAGGATTTTAGAATATTCATCCTCGACGATTCAAAAAATACTATAAATTTAAAAAAAATACTATAAAAAAACCGGAGTTAGTACAATCACAGAACAACGGTATTCTGTTACGATAACGAATCTAGCGATAACTCGTTAAAAAGGAATTTCATTTTTAAATGACGTGATACCTGTTTGTAGACAAGGTCCTAATTAGTTATCTTCAATCTTTTAGCCATGTGCTTACATGTGATTCAAGGTTTTCGAAATGATGCTCGAAATTAAAGAAGAATTACACACCCGTCGATATTCATCAGAATATTTCAAGAAGTCTCTTATCATCCTCATAAAAGCAATTGCAAAATACGAATCGCCTCTTTTTCTCTCGCGTGTTCTCGCCTCGATCTAAATTTTCGAAGACACGAGCTCCTTGCCGTTTCATCCGTCGTAATGATATTCCACTTTGTTAACGCGCAAACTCGGTAGCCATGATCCGTTTCCACGCACCGGTGCGTTCCAGCTGCACTCAGCGTCGCCACGATAGTCGCCGTCGTCGTCTTCGTGTTCATCGTCGTCGCTGGGAATCCAAGAACACGTCCAACGCGAGAATCACGGCTTTCGATGATGATAATGACGACGATAATGATCCTACCGCGCGTAATCTTCGTATCGTTCGTAATCTCCATTCTTCTCTCTCTCTCTCTCTCTCTTCTTTTCTCTTTCGTTCCCTCCTCTTTCGAACGGTTGTAATTGTGACACGCGACACGGTCGATGAATCATCTAGGATTTTGAAACTTCGCGGGCTTAATTGTTCCTGATATCGGCCGCCCGAGGACGTTTCACCTCGATGAATCGTTGCCACCAGATTCGTGACTGAATCGTTCGCGTTCTCACGATTCGTAAATTACAAAGACTCGATTAGAAATGAAACGAAAATTTTTTCCTGACAATGACAGCTTTGTTTCTCCGTGTATTTAGGATCTCTTGGAGCTTTTATTAATCTCCGAGACCCGAGATATCAGAATGACAAGTACCTAAAAGAAACGTGCATTGATCTTTGTCGAATTTTTTTTCTTTTACAGTCTAATTCTCAGTTTTTTCTTCTACTGTCTCGTTCGGGAATTCTAAATTGTCCAGTCGCGAAGGCTGCACCTCGCAGTCGGGTTTCCGAAATCCAAGGCCACGCGATGTGGAGAATTGGATCACGATGATGTGCAATGAAATCGCAATCGCGAGAAGGACTGAGAAGGTAATCGTGCGGAACCGCGTGTCGATCCCTTCATCGATCGAATGAATCGCGCGATTGTTACGATAGACTCGGACGGACGTCGTTTGTACTCGTTCGAGAGATCGTGTGGTTTAAGGTTAAATGAAGAATCTCTCGACGTGTTCTTTTTTTTCTTCTTTTTTTTTTTCTTTTTACTGGTTTTATCGATTGAAAAGGATGAAGTTGTTTATTGATTGTATTAGTACACGCGAGCCGCGTTGTCGAACAGATTTTTCATGTCCAATTAACCCTCGTTCGATTGGGATAGAATTGACACAGGAATTATAACCATCATTTCTCTGAAATAATATTAAAAATATTGAACGAAGAAAATTAACTTCAGCGACTAAAGTTATCTTACGCTTTTAAATGTGTAATTGAAAAATATAGATACACAATGCTATTAAAAAAATGCCAAATCAGCAGAGAGATATACTTTCAGAATCTTTCTGACAAGATTCTCAGTGAACTCCTCGAGACCTCTTTGTTCTGTAATCATCGGAACTATACGTTCGAATGTACATATATAAATCCGCCAAGTCATTCGCTCCGCGCTCTGTTTAAAGAATTAAAAATCCGATCGGCGATGGAAAAATGCTGGTGAATAAAACCTTGATCGTCGTCTAATTCCAGATTAAAGTGCCTTTGAAAGTGAACTTCTCGGCCAGGCCCAAGGACGTCTCGGTGACGATCACGAAGAAACGGTTGACCTGCGGCGTCAAGGGTCAGCCGCCGATCATCGACGGTGATTTTCCACACGAAGTCAAAGTCGAGGAATCCACGTGGGTGATCGAGGATGGAAAAGTGTTGCTTATCAACCTGGAGAAGGTGAGTGACGTCGGACAGACACGTCGATTTCGCGTTCTTTGATCGCTGTGTGAACCCGCGAGGCCATGTCCAAGCGAGGATTTCGACGATGGTATCGATCGCCAGCGAGGAATTTGCTTGACACGGCCCTGAATCGTCGAACCACCGTATTGAAAAATTTTGGCGAAGGTTAAGCGACTATTTGCTTGATCTCCAATTGACAGGACTCGGTGATGTTCGTATCTCGATAATTGGTCAATTGCGACAGGCATCTCGTTGACTGATCCTGTGTTTATTGAGTTAGATAACGAAAATCTCCTCCGGAAGGATTTCTTTAGATTATTTTCCAGATTTGCTTTGGAATCTGCTCCTTTCTCTTTTGCAAACATTTCTTTGGCAGGATTTTTAGATTCTTTTCTAGACTCGTTTTTTTTTTTTTTTTTTTTTTTTTTTGTCTTTTTGGAAAAGTCATTCGCACGTAATATCTTTCAATTCAACACTTATCGTTCTATCATACATTCACGCAAATTCCGTTTAACGAACAGTTCGTTGAAGGCAAGAGTCACCGATTCTTTTCGCAGGTGAACAAAATGCAGTGGTGGGCGCACGTGGTGACCTCTGACCCGGAGATCAGCACGAAGAAAGTGAACCCCGAGCCTAGCAAACTGTCGGATCTCGACGGTGAGACGAGAGGTCTGGTGGAGAAGATGATGTACGACCAGAGACAGAAGGAGCTAGGCCTGCCAACGTCCGACGAGCAGAAGAAGCAAGACGTGATCAAAAAGTACGAAAATGGTCGCAAATTCGGCGCCGAGGCGTTCGTAACCGAGACTAAATGAAACGAATTCACATGTCGTAAACTTTGTCCCGCAGATTCATGGAACAGCATCCCGAGATGGATTTCTCCAAGTGCAAGTTCAACTGAAATGGTTCCGACGATCGATGGATGGCCGGAAGAACGAAAGTTCCACGTGTTATTGCGAAACTTATTAACAGAAGATAAAAGATAATATGATATAAAGAAAAAGAGAAAAGAAAAGGAAAATATTATCGATGCATTTCCAGTTGCGAATCCAATTGTGAAACTCTTTACGATACTCTGTTAATCGCCACTTGGACATCACGACTCTCTGCGCCTATTTTCCGAGCCACGTGCCGCCGTTGTGTTTCCACGGCGCGAAAGGTGGCACCACGATCCACGGAAAGGATGGATCGTGCGATCATGGTAAAGAATTTTCTAGTTTCTCGCTCACTATTCTCCTGATGATTCCATTTTCCTTCTTTCTTTTCCCTGTCTATCTTCGAATCGTTCCTTTGTTGTTGATACTCTAAAAGAAAATATCAATTTGCACAAATGTATATCGTATGATTTTTTTTTCACTTTATATTTCGTATAATTGAATAAAGAAAATGTAAAAAAAAAAAAAAAAGAAAAGGTAGTCGGCTTATGCGAAGATTCACCCCCGTTTCGTATGATAAATCGAACGATTGTTTGCTTTTTTTTTTTTTTTCTTTTCTTTTAATTTCATCGTTCAGTTGTGCGAAACGATCGTTAACGGTATACAAAGTGATGTTGTATCGTTACAGAGAGAAATGTGTAATAAATGGCATTCGCTTCGAGCGAACAATGGCAGTCAGAATGGTTTCTCTGTCGTTCGGATTGTCCTTAACGTTAATCATGTTAAAAGTACACTGGATATTGTTCTTACCAGTTCTAACGTTATTACCAGTCACAGATAATAGCACTGAGCACGATAATGTACAGCACACGAGTACACGAATGCGAAGGTCGTGTCAACGCGCGAAAGTTTCAATCATCGATCTCTTTCATCACTTTGCTGATCCAACGAACGTAGTTGGACAGTTTGGCGTATATCCCGAACTTTCCGCGTTTTCCGCAACCTTCGCCGAAACTCGTGATGCCAAATATGGTCCAGGGGCGATTAGGTCTCCTGGGATCTTGGCACAGAAGGGGTCCTCCGCTGTCACCCGCGCATGAATCCATCTTTCCGCGACGATATCCCGCGCAGAACATGTTATCGGTGATTCTGTAGTCTTCGTAGACGGTTCGACACGCTTCTGAAGATACTATGGGTATCTGCAATTGAGAATGAATGGAAGAATTTCTTTAGTTGACTTTTCAAGAAGGTTGTTAAGAAGATTAACAGATATCGTTACCTCCCCTGGCAAAGATAATTATTCGTAAATTCTCTTCTCTCTGACAGTTGTAGAAAATATTACGACAGAGAAAAAAGGTTTTTTGAGTTTTTCAAAAATTCGAGAATTTCCTCGAAGATACGGAAGAAATTGTACAAGTTTCAAGATTTTGAAAGGACAAACAAACGCACCCGAGCCTCGTGAAGAACATCGGTCCCGAAGTCGTCGGTGACTCGCGATTTTCCCCAGCCAATAATTGTGCACAGTTGATTGGCGGGTAGAGGCTGGTTAGGCGCTGGAAGGCAAGCTACTCCTCTGGACGACGACGCTGTCAACGTGACCGGAAGACGCAGCATCGCAACGTCGTTGTCCACTGTGTCCGCGTCGTATTCGGGATGTATCGTCACCGAATCCACCTGAGTGAACGAGAATTTAATCGAGTATTAAAGTCTTGGACCACTTCGATTATCCTTAAAACATCGAGTGACAGATACCCTCAATTCCAATTCAGTGCCCTCCTTCACGGTCAAATCGTGCTCCCCAATCCGAACGTAAAGTCGTTTCCTGATACAGTGTGCTGCGGTTAATACCCATCTTGGCGAAACCAAAGTACCACCACAGAACGCCTCCTGTAAAAATTTGACTTGCAATTAACCGAGCCCCACTCGAGCGAGGTACAATTTCAAACACTCGATGAACACTTACACGAAATCTGTTCAACACGGCAACCTGCCAGGGCCAACTTCTTGGAGTGGACGGACGACCACCGATGATCCTGGTGAAGTAGGAGAGCGGAGAAGTTTTTTGCGGAACTCCGCATTTCCAAGTATGAGAGTTTTTCTCCGGAATGAAACTGTCGACCATATTGGGATTCAGCTCGAACTCGTCTAATACGATATCTGCGATAATAAAAAGTAACGAATATTCCTTCGAGGAACTGAGCGGCTCGTTATATTCACCGTCGATATCCTCTTCCTGGCTTCCACGAATTTTTCGATGGACCCATCTTTGGCAGAAGCTACCCTCCACGTAACAGTACGCGCTCTCTCTTATCACGTCGCGCCCGCAAATTCCAGGTTTCTTGCACCACCTTTCGTCCATTGAATTAAAAAAAAAAAAAAAAAATAAATTACGCGATCGACGCAAAGTGAATTCGAACATTTGTAGTATTGTATCGTGATTTATTTACGAGCTTTTGACTATCGAGTGTCATATTCACCTGTGACGTTGAGTGGTACATAGTCTTGTACATGGTGACCATTTGCTCCATTTGCCATAATACCCTACAGATTGGTCTTTGCCTCTCTGTTTCCCTTGTCTAGGTTCTGCTTCCTTCCTGGGTACCTGACGTCAAATATTTGCAATTGATTCCTCGACAAATATAAAATTGGTCTATATTTTTATAAATTTTTACCTGTATAACGTGAAATTTATCCTGACGATGGCCTCGTCGCTGATGTTGCTTGCATCTCCTCCACCTACTCTTCCTGTTGTTGTGCTGACAGGTTCGTTCTTCCTGCAAGGAATACAACAACCTTTACACCTGCAATTTTTTTAAACATACTACCAATTACAACGTGGAATAAGATTTGAAAGCTCACCCTAAGTATCGTGTTGCTACATTTCTTCTTCACGCGACACCTTCGAACGCGATTCTGCGTACAGTGTCGATCACAGACGCTCCATTCGCTCCAATTCGTGAAGTACGATAGTTTCGTCGCTCCTGTACATTCATTTTATTTAACAAGAAACCTAAAGACACGTCTAAAATACGATAGAACCTCGCATACTTCCACTACAATTATACTGCGAATATGGAATGCGAGATGTTCTTATGTGAAATGGAAAATAAAGACACGTGAAAACGCTTCTTATAGCCACTGAATAATATATTTGTTCGTACAAACGAGGTTGTACGAGGTTGTTCTGTTTGCAATTGAAGCTCTAAGAAATACTCACTGCTCTTTGGTAACTGCTGCACGGCATCCTGATCGACTACGCGCTGCCAACTAGTGCCATTGTTCCCGTCAGTCGCCAATGTCCCGTTTCCGCTCTAAAATTAGCAGACAGCAACAATTAATCATCGACACCTGAAAGGGAGAACGCGTTGACTCGTGACTCGTTGCAAACGATTGTTTTTCTTCTTAATGAAGCGAAGAGTCAAGGAACGCACGAGAAACACGCGACGAGATAAAGCGGGACAAGAAAAGCAGCGTAAAAGTCAATCGAGATTCTGCCCGGTTCGTTATTGTTCTGAAAAACGAGAAAAACACAGGGAAAAGGGAAAGAAAACGGCGAATAATTACTGGTTTTTGAGCAAAGAGTTAATAGACTAGTTGCTGACGTTGCCGCTCGTCTCAGATATCGTTCAGCATTCCTCAAGGCTGTAACGATCAGCACGCGGCACTAAACTCAATTTGCCGGCTCGTAAATAGCGACGTAACCACCGGTTGCTCAATGTCACCATCTAATATTCTTCTGCCTCTAAGATTTTGGTCGTGCCGAGAATCTTACAGACACATTTCCTGCCTTTTTTACCAGAAAACTACGATTCTCAAAAGTCAATACGAGTCCCAAAATGGCACCTGTGCTTTTTATGAAGGCACATGGAAATTTTCATAGATATTCATGGAAGTGTATTAAATAGATAATATTTTATGATTATTAATTATGAAATGACGCGTTGCCTAAATAAATGGAACTAAAGCAGCGAAATTACGATCGAATTTTCTTTTGAATCAAATGGTGTATAGTATAAATAATCAAATAGCATAAAGGAGTCATTGTGTGCGACAACTCTGCGACTATACTATACTAGTATAGGATATAGCCTATACATATATATATATAATCTAAACCTATAACTTAAACCTAAATCTATAATTATAACTTAAACCTAACTATACTATACTATAACTAGACTTGTATACACTCTACACTGTCAAGAGTTCGTACCATGCATACACCATCGCATACAGTATACACTGTTCAAGAGTTTGTACCATGTTAGGATTTCTGAAAAGAGACAACGATTTTCTTACGTATAAATATTTTATTTATGATTTATTAATGTTTTCAAGCTATCGTATTTCAAGCAATCTTTCTAATTTTACGAAACCATTATTCTTTATTAGATTTTTTTACGTAAAAGTAAAGTACACAATGAGACCTGCACAATTATCACCATTTGACATACATATAGTTACCAATTGCATTTTATTGCAATTATTATACAGTTGTTATTGGATTGTGAATGTTTATGCATCCGTAGAAAACTCGAAGGTGCAAAGTTCTATACGATGCAAATATTCAAATTGGGCATTTATTACAATATTATACATTACAATACTAATAATACAATAGACTATCAGATCGATGAAAATGGAACGAGCACACGCAGATCACACCCTTCTTCGATCCAGCCCACGTCGGCTATTATCTCAGACAATGGTCGGAGGAAACCAACGATGATGTTACCTCATCGAGGTCGATCGTCTTGGGAAATGGAATACTGGATGAGTGGTCACGAACGATGTTTTACAGGGTGGTTCGTCCTACGTAAATCTAATTATTGCTCTTTGGGGAATTTGGAGGCAAAAGGTGCGCGTGACAAGACAATACGTCGAATGACGTCATATGAGCATATGAAACACGAAGGTGATCTTCTTTTTGCCAACTAGCTCTAACACTCTTAATACGACTGCCTCGAGTTGACTCTACACTGACCTAGATTATTAGCGTGGTGTAACGAATTACAACATATTGAGGAGACATTCGTTTCTTCGAAAATTATTTGTATATGGGCAACGGTGGCAAATTTACTTGCAACTGTTATAAATCAAAATTATCGTCTTCCTTCGTGTTTGTCGTCACCGGTGAGAAATTTAGTCGTGGTGTGTTCTAGTGATAAAATTTTACTTTGTGCCTCCTCTTGTATTTTATTTCAAAATCAAATGAAATACAAAAGAAAGCCGAGCGTCAAGACGATACGTATCTCTAAATTGTTTATGGCGGTGTTCCTGCATAACAGTTGCATTTAAACATGTAAAAATAAATAATCCGATTAATTTTGCCGCGCGGAGAAAAGCTCTTGAGCATGTGCAATCCTGAAAGAGTTCAGGGTTAACGATGCTCCCGAGTTGCACAATTAATTTCTTCGAACTAACTATAAAAGGAAAACTGGTTCTTGCTCGATTTCCTTGTTGGCCGTAAGTAGATCACGAATATAATTTGTTCCTGCTTATTTCGTTGTGCCTAGATCTTTATACATTTATTTATTTCAATAAAAATGTTAATGACAAATGATCGCGCACCAACGTATTCTATTTTTATTTATGCAAAGACATTCGTGATCCGATCGTACACAACCGGGTAGATTCATCGACACAGACCTCGAGAGAGAGAGAGAGTTTATCCTAACGCGTAAACGAGTAATTTCCTGCAAATTTAAAAGTACGCGGAGGCATTCAAAACACGAGAGAGATTCGTAGCGACGGTTCCGAAGGCCAGATTTGTCGCTTCTTCCGCGACACGATCGCCCGATGAAAAAGCAGACGAGTTGGAACCGACGAGTTCCCTCGTCTACACCGAGGACGAGCCAGAAGGCACGAGGAATTTGTATGCGTCGCGGTGAGGGCATGGCCAAACTAGGCTGAAGTCTGCCGGTGCCTTGCATCTCCCCCGATGGAATCGCAAAAAGCCGCGTGCCACTCGCGGGGAGAAACGATGGACACCCGGCGAAAATCGTCGTCGTTGCCGACGATTTTCAGCAAGAAGCCAGCAACTTGGAAAAAATACGGAATTTCACTGGGAGATCCTCGAGGTGGTATTAACCGGAGAGCGGAGAAATTCACTGTTGGCTGCAACGTACCGAGAATTCCGCGAGACCGTGCCACGAATGATTCACTGGCATTACGTATGCAACTTTAATACCGTTTCGCATTCGAAGCATCCCCGAACGGCACCCTACCAGGACACGTTTCACCGCGCTGCTCACCTCTGTTCACTCATCTGCGCCTTACTTCACTGTACCATTAATTGTAAGTAAGTACGGATGCTCGTTTATTCTGTGGAAATAGTTTATTCTGTCGCAGACGTTTCTACCTAGGATCGTTCGTTCGATTCCTGCCGCGTGAATTATGGTGGAAAGTAGAGTGTAGGTGGCCACTCTTTACTTTCTCTCGTTTGAGAGAACGGTCTTTAGCGTGTTTAACTCGACAGATGCTACGATGTTGTTTCATGACACGTGTTGCTCACGTGCGCTCTATCTTATCCGTTACGTGTGTTTAGCACTGTACGAATGAGTAATACCGCGACGATCTGCGAGATCGTTTCTTCAACTGTTCGGATCAATGGAGAAAACGTGGATGTAGAATAACAATCGAGGAAATGCATCAATTATCGTGACGTTGAAGAAGTGACGTGTTAAAGCTTGGAATCTTCTCTGTTGTACAAACAGTGAGAAACTTTGTTCTTCAAGTGATACTGCCATCGGTATTTGCAAATTATTAAAATTACGAAATTCTCTCTGAATACTCGTTGCTTACGAATCATCGTAAAAAACGATCCCTAAAAGGAACCTCAACCACTCTTGTTAAGCTCAATGGTTTGTTGCAAACCCTCGATCTAGCAGAACAAAACAAACTGAAAGCAATCTGAAAGAAAAAAAAAAAAAAAAAAAAAAACGCATAGCTGCATTTTCACAGCGACGAGCCGCAGTACTCTAACCGCGAAGAAGCGGTCCAGCAAAAAAGGGGGGAGGGGGTTGGAGAAAAGAAAGAAAGAAAAAAAAAATAAAAGGAAAGAATCGATGCGAAGCGGGGAGAAAGGACCGACGCGACGCGACGCGACAGCCATGCCGAAGAAGATGGATAAGGTTCGGAAGCAATGACATTCGTTTCGCGGGCTGACGCCCCGACTATACCTTAGATGGTAGCGCGATCGGTGTGTCCAATGTCCGAAAATGGCCGGTGATTTCTTCGCTGGTTGGCTACCAATGGATTTAATACTCGCGGCCGGTCGCGGCGATGGAACGCTCGCTATGGCGAGATCGCGGCCTGATTTATGTGCTCGTGCACGCCATCCGAAGGCCAAGGTCCTCGTCCACCTACTATGGTCAGGATGACGTCTGCTGACCGGCGACTGCGTCGCGTAAATCCCGCCGCACCGTATATTCGCTCCATGGGAATTCCGCGAACGCGCACGGCCAAAGTCGTACGCCTGATTTTCCTCGGCTCGTCTCGAGCCGCGCGCGGCTTAATTGCCGTCGGCGAGGCTCTTTACGGAGCGACGGTATTACATTACGAAGAGGATTCCGCGTTGAAAGGATACGCGATCGCTGGATTTAGACTGGCCGATGTATCGTAACGCGAAATAGAGCCTTTGACCCTTTGCTTGTTTAGTTACCTTTTTTGCAAGAATCAACGTTTCGGTGATATTCGATTCGGGCAATTTTCAAAGTATCGTTTTATCTTTTTCTATACTTTGCAGGAGATGATTATTTTAAGCACAATTTTTCAAAAAAAGAGCTGTATCTTCATAGAGAGATAATTTGTTGGAAACAATTTCTGCGTCAGAGAGACCTAATCAGAATCATCGAACGAGTAATTTTGTCTTTTGCAAACGGGATGGAGACGAAAGTATCGTTGTTTTTAAGACTCAACGTTTCATTGATGAGGTATTAGGTAGTTCAAGTATCATTACTTTTTCTACAGATGCAAATAACAATTTCCATTATTTTAAACACAATTTCCAAAAATGCTTCATCTTCATAAGAGAGGCAATTATTTATAATTGTATCAAAGCCAATCTAGCCAGAATTATAGAGCAAAGTGTTCAAGAGTAATTTCGTCTCTTGCTAATGAGGTAGATCTCGGAACAATCTAGTCCCTTCTTCAACCTAACTCTTCTCGGAGTTTCAGTCACGGTACGCTCGTAGACCATGTAAATGCTCATTCGCGGACGCTTTTTAAACGAACCAGAACAACAGCGTGACTGAATCGCCACTGTTCTGTCGCGTTACGCGACGTTTGTTGAATGCAATTTGTACTCCTA